ATTCAGGTGTGATATTCCTTTATTCTTTTATAATATCAAGCCAACTGGGAGCTGGTCACAGATGAATTTTCTTTCAGGCTGTTGGGTTTTGATTGCGATGATCAATCATGTCTTCATATCTTTCTCCGCTGTTCAGATAAATGATATTTCGTGTATTTGCTTGCATCAAAGGTAAACTGCCATAAAATGAGTCAGCATGGTAATAATAGGACAAACGCATGAATTGAAACACAAAAACTAAAAACACAAAAAATTAAACACCTGATGATTTTAAACAATTTCTGTTTCTGAGACAAGTCTATACTTTTACAAGATGTGAGTTTGGAATACGATATTTCCTATTGGAATAAAACGAAACAAACCATTTGTATTTCAGGGAAATATAGCTGTTTTACAAAAAATTATAGGAATAACATCGATAGTGTGAATGATAACGCAATGTGAGAATAAACAACATTTTAGGAGTTACGTCACAATTTTTAGAGTCATTTTTAGGGTCGTAAAGAGTTGGCTTTATATGGAATAAAACCTTAAAATGATCGTGTTCTTGGATAGAAAGCACTTAAGTGGCAAGAAAAAAATCAAAACGGAATGAGGATTGTTAAGGATGGCAAAGATTAACGAGGACTGCAAATGACAAACTTGAAAAACTAGGCTAGTTTTTTCAAGATGCGCAAATCATGACGTAGCTCCTTGAAAGCAAGTCATGTCCTTAAGCTTTTGTATATAAGCTTTCTCATTAACTGTAATGCTAACTGTAACGCTCACATCTGACACGAAAAAGTAGCTGAGAATTAGCTACTGATACTAACAATTTCAAAAACGAGAATGGGAGGTTCACGCAAGCTTCAAGCCAACTAACGTTCAAATATAATTACATCTGCCTGTTCATTAAAATTTAAATTTGTTGTAAATTAGGCGCTTATGTGGCTTCTTAAATGGCCTCTTGTCATTCTCTGTAATTAACATGTCATTGCGTCAAATTCGGGATTCTTATTTTTATTTAATATATTTTAGTTTTCCACTTTTATTTTTTATTTATTATTACCTTATAGACGATTCGATTTTTGTTGTTGTTTTTTTCTTTAAAAGGTTTTTTTTTTTCTGTGATCCGATCCGTGATCCGATCCGTGATCCGGTCTGTGACCTGATCCATGATCTGGTCCGTGATCCGGTCCGTGATCCGGTCCGTGATCCGATCCGTGATCTGGTCCAGTCTGGTCTGATCCTGCCAATGGATCTTTGTTGCTGTGACACAAAGTTGCTGGATAATTTTAGAAAAATGTTACAAAATTGTTGCAGATTTTTAAACATTTTTAAATGTTTACAGACTTACATGTAGTGAATACTATATAATGGTTCTTACTAGCCACTCAGCTGTGAGCTATTGGAAATCCCCAAATCTGATTGGTTCTCTCACTGTTTTCTATTCCCTGATAGACAATGATTGCACACCTGCTACTCTTGAAACTGAAAATTATTCTTTATTTCAAACTTAAGAGGCCCTGCACCTAAGAAACGACTGATGATTTCCGGCTAAAAAATAAAATCAGCCAATTTTTATCTCCCAAGTAGAGGTTACCGAATACTATTTAAAAATGAATTTCTTTTGTTTCAATTTTGCTTTAAACCAAAAATATCGAGCCGCAAACTTTTTCCGTCTGATAGCAACAAAATAAGGCCGAAAATAAGGCCCCGCAAAAAACTGTTCAGAAATTACTATTGCAACG